CCGGCGGGGGCGGGGGGGGCAGCGGCTCCTGCCGCGGCTGCCCTGAGCCCCACCGAGCTGGCTTCCCTGGCCAGCATCGACCGAGAGATCGCCATGCACACGCAGCAGCTGTCCGAGATGGCGGCCGGGAAGGGTCGCGGCCGCCTGGACTCCGGGTCCCTGCCCCCGACCGTTGTGTCGGCGAGTGGCGCTGGGAGCGGCGGCGGCGGGGGAGGCGGCGCCGGCAAGCCCAAGACCGGGCACCTGTGCCTCTACTGCGGCAAGCTGTACTCGCGCAAGTATGGGCTCAAGATCCACATGCGGACGCACACAGGCTACAAGCCACTCAAGTGCAAAGTGTGTCTGCGGCCCTTCGGCGACCCTAGCAATCTCAACAAGCACATCCGGCTCCACGCGGAGGGTAACACGCCCTACCGCTGCGAGTTCTGCGGCAAGGTGCTGGTGCGCCGCCGGGACCTGGAGCGCCACGTCAAGTCCCGCCACCCCGGCCAGAGCCTGCACGCCAAGGCAGGGGACGGCCCAGGAGCTGAGCCTGGCTATCCCCCTGAACCTGGGGACCCCAAGAGCGACGACAGTGACGTGGACGTCTGCTTCACTGACGACCAGAGTGACCCTGAGGCTGGGGGCGGCGGCGAGCGCGACTCCTAACAAGACTTCTTGGGAAGGGGCGGGACGTGGACTGAGAGGAGCGTGTGTTGGGGCGTCTGTTCGGGAGAAGAGGAACTCCTGGTGGTGAGAAGAGGGGCCCGGCTGAGAAAGTCGTTTTTATTTTGGGGATGGCGCCAGATGTGGAACAGTGATAAGTCCCCGGTCTGGTCTGAAACTGGAGAAAGGGTGCAGAGATGGTGTAAAGAAATTCAGCTACCTGGGGCAGCCCAAGGGTGGCCAGTCTCCAAGCATTCCAGGCCTCAGGTCTTCTTGACTAGATTTCCCTGAACCGCCCAAGCCAGACGGTCTGCTCTTGGCGTAAAGATTCACATTCATGCGAACATCACAACGCCTTGGAGGGTGCAGATTTTAACTGCCACGTATTTTAAAATTGTACTTTTCTGTGGAGGAAATTGTGCCTTTTGAAACGACATTTTGTGTGTATTTACATTAGCATTTCACCGCGTAGGCAAAGCAGTAGTCACAGTTCGGAAGACGTGACATCCATACACTTGTTTCCATTTCATCTATTCTCACGTTAACGACTACGCCTTGCCGCATTGAATACATAGTGGTAGCAGGTGTACAAATTGGTCAACTTGCAATTATTTATAAGAGAATAATGATAATTGTAAAATATCTAAAGCATGAATCTAAGCGCACGCAATATATCATTTTAAAGAAAATAACCTATTTGGTAGACTACAAATGTGTATGTTGTTTTATAATGAATGATGTACAGTGGATACAGTATTTTGGTCTTGGTTCCAGTTTGTGCAATCTTTAAGAAAAATAAAAATATAAAGGAGCGTTTGTTCACTTAGCGATTTTAGCAGATCCTTCAAAGAAATAGTTTAACTTGAAAACAATTTTCAAGGCAACACCACAATAAAATAAGTCAAAGGACACTTGAATACTTTGATTATTCATAAAATAAATGTTAAGCAGTGTCATAATACCGTAATATACCATTTTCAATATGTGCATTTCACAGGTTCCCAGATAATAGGCAAAACAACTGTTTTTTAAAACACTGTTAATCATGCTAAGTGTTTTCCTCTTTACTGAAAAGAAAAAGAATACATATCCCTTGTCAAAAAGAATTATGGAACTGTAGAGTTACTTTTTATTTCTTGTGCTTCATTTCAACAAAACTTTCCTTGGGAAGTGAGAATGGAAATTTGCTTAATGTCTTTTATGATTCATACATTTTAATATTCATTCAACACATACTAAAGGAGGATCTAGTTATCTAGTTTGTTGGAGGTGCTGATCTATTTGCTTCACAAAAAATTTGTTTTGCTATATACTTTTTAAACGAATTATTTATTAATTTATTAATTATTATTTTTTTCACATGAGTTTTGCCAGAGAAAGAGAGAGGGAGAGGGAGAGCAAGAAAGCAAGCCACTAGGTCCAGGACTGGAGCCATGGTCAGCCATGTGGGAATTCTAGCGCCTTAACCCCCACACCACCCACTAACCCTACTTTTTTTTCTTTTTTAAGAGAGAGATATTTTTGCAGCAGGGCACATGAGCTTGCCAGAGAGACAGAGAGAGAGAGAGAGAGAGAGAGATAGAGAGAGAGAGAGAGGGAGAGAAAAAAAACATGAGAAATCACCCCCTCCCCCAGGGAGGAGAGCCACACCACAATCCCTTCTCCTCCGTTCTCCTCTTGGAATTTTGGGCACACATGCATGCACATGTGCCCATTGTGAGTTTTAAGCTACTAGGTCCAGGATTTGAATGGAGGTCAACAATATGGGAGTTGGCAATGTAACCATTATACCATCTGCTGCTCTCTTTTCCCATATACTTCTTACAACAATCTTGTGTTGTCACTATTGGTCCCATTTTGCAGAAGAGAAAACACACTCTTCAAGGTCCTTGCAAGGCTTATAATTGAAACAGTGAAATTAGAAGCAAGAGCTGTATTCACTGACTTACAAAATTGAAGAATATAAATTTGTGGGCTATAATTGGAAGGCACCATCGCTTCTCCCCATGCACACTCTAGGGAGGATTTCACTATAGGAGGTGGGGGATTATTCAGCCTGGCTCTACGTAGATACCTTGGGAGCCAAGGTCTGAAGGGCTTTTCTCAGAGCTTGGCTCAACTATTTTGGTAGGGTCAGTGTTGGTCTTATAGTGTTGAGGTAACTGCCTTCCAAATATTCTGACAGGTCAATAGAAGGTCTGGATATGACCTTGATGATTTAAAGGAGTTGAAAATATCCTTCTCTCTATTGGGAAAAATTCCTTAGTCACTGGATGACTGGTAGAAACTTTCTGGCAAACTACAGCATAGGTGGAGGAAGGCATCTGATTTCTGTTATGTTGATCTGTTTCTTCTATAAGGAAACTTATGCTAAGAATGACAGGTTTTGGGGACTAGCAGGTGGTGTGGTAATTAAAGTGCTGGGCTGCCACATTTGTCACTGCAGTTTGAGTCCTAGACCTGGTGGCTTGCTTTCTCACTTTCTCTCTCGCTCTCTTTCTCTCTCTCTCCTCCCCTGTCTCTTTCTGGAGAGCACATGTGCCCTATAGCAAATTAAAAAAAAAAAAATTCCAGGTTTTTAGTGTCAGCAGACAGGAGAATGTTTTGTAAAGGAAGACTCAAAAAAGACAAAAATGTATGGATTAACTTATAGATAGGTTGACAAAGATACTACCATTTAATGAAGACCAACTCTGTGCCATGTTCTTAAGCTATAGGTAGCTCTTTCCTCCCCACTCCCCAGAACTGTGGGCTTGCCCCTCCAGGTTCAGGGATGACCTTGGCACACAGAACTAGAAGTGAACCTCAATATCTTCTTGCTGAGCCTGGGTTCTAGGAGCCCAGAGTTTATCCCCACCTGATTAGTATCCTAATCTTCCTTTTGGAAGTAATTATTGCTTGAAACCAAATCTGCCCTTGTAGAGAAATATTGGAAAACTTTGCCAAGGATTGTGTAAGTCCTCAGGGCGAATAAGAATGGCTGCCCAGCACTGAAACACAGGGAAAGTTATACTGGTTCTAAAAGTATTACTCCCCTCTCCCATTTCCTGCTTCAGGACTCACTCCTATAACTCTTGTTTTTATGGAAAACAGCCCATAAATAAATAAATTAAAAACATTTTGGTGAGGGGAAATACATTTAGAATCGATGAAGATGTTATAAAACAAAAACCCAGCCCCCTGTTTCCCCTTTGTAAATTGATCTTTACTGAAAGCTTTTAGAATAGAATCCAATATAAAAAATGAAAATCAAACATAGATTTAAAGGCTCTTAATCACAGGCCATTTGCAACTTTCCATAGATTTCCTCAGAAAGCCTGTATATTTCTTCATCTAGTTCATATTGTGATACATGATTCATGCTATTATTTCTTCTAATAGGCTCAGATCAGAGATACAATCAGGAATAAGAAGATTATTTTAAGTGGCTCAGTTGACTGAGTGTTTCTCAGATTACTTCTTTGGATCTCCTACCTCTTTACCTCCATTCCTTCTACCCCTATCTGTTTCCTGGTGACACAACTAACTTTAAGGGTTATGCTAAAACCACTGGAAGTTTCCAGGATTCTAATGGAATGTTTTGTAAATAAAGATTTAAAACAAAAAGGGAAAAAGAAAGGACACGTGCCTTTTAGAAATGAAAAAGTTTAGACTGTTTGAACCTAGTTAATTTGGCCATTAAAACGTTTTGATTATCCAAATAAAGTAGATGACCTGGATTTTAATCTTGTCTCTTTCACATGCCTCTGTCACATCGTGGGCCAGTCTATTGCCTCAGTTTCCTTATTTGTAAAACAGGGAGAACTAAAGCAATTGGGTAGTTATGAATACTGAGTTAATCCAGGTAAATTACTTAGAATCACACCTGATGAATAGTAAGCTCTCAAACAATATTAAAGAGTTACAGGTTGACTCCCTGTTACAATCATCAGTATCTTTTTGCAGGACACTAACTCTCCTCTTGGTTCACTTCAACTTTAATAAAAAGATGTCTTCCACTTTTTTTTTTTTTTTGCTAAAGAGAAGGAAACTTCAGATTCCTTATAAGGGCATCTTCCATTTTACGCTCAGACCCTGGTTCGAACGGTTTATAGTGGTTAATTGTGTGGGAAGACGAATGCTCGTTTCGTTTGTTTTCGTTAAGCTTTGAGATGCTTGACTGGACATTGAGGGATGAGCTTAAGAAGCAGCGTGTAGCGGAGACGAGAGCGCGTGCATCTACCTTCCTGAGCCCAGCAGAGAACGGATTCAACAAAAGCTGCAATTCCGCAGAGTTCTTCGCTGGGCTAAGTGCTTAAACTGAGAACAGAGGTGAGTGGTTAGCACTGCAATTCAACCGCGCTGGAAGAGGCGGTGGCGTTGGTGCTGGCTGTGGGTTCCAGAGCTCCCGGAGGCCGGTGATGGGCGGACCCTCATTACCCAGAGCGTTCTCATTGGTTCATTCTTCGGAGTTGGGGTTGCTATTGGTGGCGGGCTGGCAGCGTGCAAAGATCTGGGCCCAAGCGGCCTCGAGAGAACCCCAGGCCGCTGGCTGTGTAGCGACTTGAGTAGGTGCCGGGCGTCCCGCCAGAGTGGCTGAGAAAGTTGCTGCAGGTCGAATTGGCCTTCCTGTGGTTCGCTTTCGCTTCCTCAGGATCAGAGGTTTCTGGGTTCTGGGTTGGGACAGAGGTACCAGAGTCTCGCCGCGTGTAAGAGTACAATCTGGGAGCCTTGGAAAATAGAAAAACGCGGGAAAACCCGCGGCGCGCAGCAGGAGGCGGTTCAGGCGCAGCTAGTTCTTGTTTAATGCCCTGTCCCGCTGCGGCGCGGAGCTGCGGCACCAGCGCTGCGCGCGCCCTGGCCATCTGCCGCTTCCCCAAAGGGAAGAGGGCAGAGGCGCTGGCGCCGTCGGGAGGTCAGACGTGACCCTTGGCCACCCAGGTGTGAGTTGTGAAGGGGTGGACTCAACAGACGGCGGGGCCAACGTGTTTAGTTCCAGAAGGAGCGTGGCGCTCGCTCTGGGC